ATGTTTGTTTTCTTTTGTACAGCACTTTGGTTGGCCTTGTTGCTGTTGTAAGTGCTATATAAATAAATTGGTATGGTATGGTATGGTACTCACAGAGGGTTGAGTGATACTAGCAATAACAGCATTGTAAGAGGGGGACAGTTGAACCCGGAGGCTCCACCCCTGTTTAATGATGGACGGTACAAACAGCACAAACATTTGACACCAGTTTCATTAGATTTGAAGAAGGTGGGGGGCCAGCTTCACTCAGGTATCATATACTTGTGAATCTCTAAACGCCTGGTCGGATGTAAAACATCGGATCTCACTGACGTTATCGTAGACAGTCTTTTATTCACAGACATTTCATACTCAAAAAAGAACCACGGGGAGAAATCCTGATAAGTTCTCCCTCTGCAGCACACGTCATGCACAATCAGCATTGATTTTCAGAGCGTTTCCTTTCAGTTGATGATGGAGGAGTTGGAGGAGGAAGATCTGGTATTTCTGTTGTTAACCAAGAAGAAGTGCTCTATTGAAAATTTGTCACATGGCCTGTTTCCAACAGACGGTGCAGGAACGTGCCCCTACGCTTTAAGTTTTATTTGACTTGATAGCTTTTGCTAGAACAGTTGTAATGTTGGCTGAATTTTCTCACAGCCTCAGCCAGCAGATCCTCAGCAGAGGGTGCCCTGAGCTCACTGCAGCCGCTGTCCAAAAACAAACATGCCCACAAAGTTGTGACCAATCACCACGATTGCCATGTAGCACTGGGTCTGGGCAGTATCAAGGTTCTTTATTGTCATTTGCATCACATGTGGTACATGAGGTGGAATGAAACTGTGCACACAGGATCCCAGTAACACAAAAATATAAAGTATAAAAGGAAACAGTATACAAGGATCTAAGATATACCCTAAACACTAATAATGTAAAATAATACGGTTTATTAACAAAGTCCATGCTCAATAATCCAGGTATACAATCCAACAATTTTCAGTCAGGTCATTTATTTTTTTTGGTGCTGAAACATTTCACCTTCCATCCAGAAGGCTTCATCAGTCAAGGAAACACACAACACAAAACTGACTCTTCCTCCAACAGCTTACTCCAAAGTGGAACAAACCACAAAATGTCCAGATGACCTGACTGAAAACAGTTGAATACAGTGTATTAAACAGCAGCCCCAACATGAGTCTGTAGTGAGCAGATGGGTATGAACACAGCTGTCTACAGGGAAGAGATCAGCAGCATGGATAATCAGCAGCACCGATAAGTCACATATCACCAATTAAAGTGTCATTACAGTGATTTTCCTGGTCAGAGATTCATGAGTCTAACAGCTACAGGGTAGAAGCTGTTCCTCAGTCTAGATACATTGTTTTGTTAATTTTCCTTCTCCTCTTAAATTATAACCCCCCTCTCTGTCACAAAACATATTTTCAATATTGTGCTAAAGATGACGGTTTCTTACTTTGAACATAAATTGTATAGTTTTGAATTTTACAAGGTCCCAGAATTTCAGCACATTTGATACAAATAAAAAAAAGCATTTGTATGTTCCCAATATTTCACTTTATGTAATAGTCTGATTTTTTGTTTGTTTGTTTGTTTTTGTATTGTGTACAGCTACTGTAAGTTTGCATTGCCCCAAACTTCCACACAATTACTCAAATATGGTACAATGAGAGTATTATATAAAATAAACAGTGTTGCAGTCCAGAATAAATTTTACTCTCCTCATAACAGCAACACTTTTGTCTAGTTTAGATTTTACTTTGCAGATCTGTGGTTTCCAGCTAAATTTATCATCCAATATAACACCTAGAAATTTGAGTTCATGGACTTGTTATGAATCAATACTGTTGATAATCATTTTGATTCCATTGTGTGAACCAATTACTAATCTCAAAATACTCTAAACATTTGAAAACATGACTGACATTATAGAAAATGACTGCTTTTCTCAACATTGTGGGCTGTGGTAGCTTGATGGTCAGTGCTGCAAACTTATAATCTTTTCAACCAGTTTGACAAGACTGTCAACAAGGAAGAGGGCCGACAATGGAGGAGGGGGCATACCAACGAGACCATACCATACCATACCATTTTATTTATAGAGCACTTAAAACAGCGACAAGGCCAACCAAAGTGCTGTACAGACAGAACAACAGGTAACACACAAAGCAAAATACAAATTAAGTAAATCAGAATATAGACATAAAAATGATGCAGATAATAAATATGACAACAAACCAGTGTGGAGCATACAGGATCAAGACACAGATCATCTGGTGTTGAATGCTATTGAATAGTAGTGAGTTTTTAAATGGGATTTGAAAACCGAGAGGGAGGGGGCCAGTCTGACAAGCAGAGGTAACTCGTTCCAAAGTCTTGGTCCTGCTACAGAGAAGGCCCTGTCACCTCTGCGCTTAAGAAGAGTTCCTGGAACTGTGAGGAGCAACTGGTCCGCTGACCTCAGGGAACGTGGATGGACATATGGCTGTAGCAAATCAGAGAGATTGTGTGTGCGTGGGGGGTGGACTGTTCAGCGATTTGTAGACATACAGGAGTATTTTGAACTGGATTCGAAGGTGAACCTACTCGCCAGTGCAGTGAGGCCAAAACTGGTGTGATGTACTCTCTTTTGCCTGTACTGGTTAAAAATCAGGCTGCTGCATTCTGGACAAGTTGTAGTCATGCAATGGAGGTCTGAATGATACCAAACAGGAGCGAACTGGAGTAATCAAGCCTAGATGTAATGAATGCATGTATTACTGTCTCCAGGTTATTTTTGGACAATATGGGCTTCAGTTTAGACAGCCGCCTCAGTTGGAAGAAGCATGATTTAACAATCATGTTTACTTGATTGTTAAGCTTCAGGAAAGGTTCCATTATCACTCCCAGATTAGTGACTCTTTGTTTT